GATGTTAACCTCCATCTGAGTAATTACTATGGAGGTTGTACCAGCCTACACTCCCACCAACAGTGGAAGAGGGTTCCTTTTCCCCCACAGCCTCTCCAGCATTCGTTATTAGTTGATTTCTTGATAATAGCCATTCCTTCTGGGGTAAGGTGGCATCTCAGTATTGTTTAAATCTGCATTTCTCAAATGACCAGTGCTGTGGAACATTTTTTTTTCATGTATTTATGCTTATATCGGTAATCAGAGCAACTACACTGAAGACAGCAATGTGCAACATAACAACCATTGTTGAATACCTATCTTGTTTCTTTTAATTGTGTGTCATTTCTAAGTCTTATCTATTATTTTTCTGTTCTCTTTAAAGTGAATTTTTAAAAAATAAAGCAAATATACTTACCATGGTATCATATTAGAGAAAGCTTTGAGGCCTTGCAGAGAAGAAATCTACACAAGGCAGCAACTGACTAAATAAGTGAAGGGATGAATAAAGACATGAGAGGTAAAAAGACATCAGCCTCACCTTTTCCAGCACAAACCACTGAGCACCTTCAGGAATGAGCACAGAGGGGTGTCATTCTGCAGAGAGCAATCTCAGGTTTGTGGCTGGGAAGAGAACAGCAAGATCAAGGGAGGGATCCAGGCAGCAGGACAAGTCTAGAAGAAATTGAAACAAGGTGGGTCTAGCCAGGCAGTATAAAATAGGACATGAAATCAAGGAAGAGTTCTAGGTGGCTCCATCTCTCTCCCAGGACATTGGATTAGTGTTTCTCACATCCTGCTTGCAAGAACCAAAGTGTGACCTAGATACCAGGAAGCTCTCATGATACTTTAGAAATTCAACAGAGGAGAAAAAGAGTGGGGGAGTCAAGAAGCAGAAGGTAGACCAACACTTTAAAGTCCTAGAGGAATTAAATCCTGGAAGAGGAGGATGTTAATTGCACACTTTGATGATGCAATCAATGTAGAGTGGTCCCAATGAAAGCAGAGACAGGAACAGAAATAGCTGCACATCTTTTAAAATGACCAAAGTGGTGCCTTAGTTCACAAACTCAATTCTTTCCATGATTCTGGTCACAAATCAAACTGGATGAGAATGGAATGAAATTTCCCCATGAGGTCAACATTGAACCTAGCCTCTGAATTTGATTTGATTCTAGTCCAACTTGGTTTGATACTAGGAAAGAACTGAGTTGATAAACTGAGGAGCCAGTGTACTTTGAAGCTCATTAGCTACAACAAAGAAAGCTTGGCACTGAAGAAAGGGACTAGCAATTCACAAAAGAACATAGATGGAAAGGTGTTGGAAGGTATTTAGATGTCTAGAGGTGGACAGACAGTTGAATTTATTTCTTCCCCATTAAGAAAAACTCTATAGGACTGGGGAGATAGCTCAGTAGAAAAAGTGCCTGCCTGGTAAGCACAAGGTCCTGAGTTCAATCCAAGTACCACAAAAAAAAATCTATAATAGCTCATACATGTTTCCAAGACAAAGCAACAAATGTATGACAATATAAAACATAGCTTGTTCTAAATAAGAAAAATATTTGCTTTGTTTGGTTTTTAGAAAGGCTAAGATATAGTCTCTATAACAGGTATGTTGATGCGCTACATGATAAGATATGATAGATTGTATATGGATTTATACATGTTAACTACGTGTGATTTTATTGCTGTGGCTTCTTTCTAACATGGTCTAGAGGTCTTTGTCAAGAGTCGATATAAGCTAGGACATCCACTGTCTTAGGAAAGGTTGATGGAGAAATTGAGGTGTATGTATGTCAATTAGGTGAGAATGAGTTGAAACAGAAATGTACAAAACAGAAGAAATGCATAGAAATGTATCAGATTTAGGAGAGATTAGGGGCACCACAGGCAAGTAATGAGAAGAGTGGAGATGGCAGAGAACTCAACAGGCAGAGGGGGGAGAGAGAGAATGAGAGAGAGAGAGAAAAGAGAGAGAGAGAGAGAGAGAGAGAGAGAGAGAGAGAGAGAGAGAATGTACTAAGAAATTGTTGCAATATTAGGCAACATAGATACATCCCCTTAAGTCTTGTCATGAGCCTTGGGGATCAGTTGGCCTGAAGCAAACACATGAGACATTTTGCTCCCATGACTGTGGTCTCTGCTGATTACATTCTATGACAGAGAGGTTTGGAGTCTTAGCGATCAGAAACAAACAGGGTTTCTTGCACATCACCCTACAAGGAGGTTTATTCTAACTAGGCCAAAAGCAGCCAAGCAAGACTTGGTTTCAAATAGCTTATGTCAGCCTAAATTGAATGCTGAGGCAGCAATTTAATACTAAAAAATTAATGACACTGTGCCTTTGGGTAAAGACAGAGGAAAGGTTAAGAGGAGGAGCACCAAAGACATACTTGGCTTATATAATGTCGTATATTGGCCCAGATCTGGGCATGAGGCAGATCAGAGACACCTGAGAAGACAGAAGGTCTGGGGAGCAGCCTCATTTCAGGCATTGAGTAAACCTGTGAGAACTGTCACGGTAAGCAATTGTGTTAACAGTAAATCTCACGTGTCTGGGCTTCCTAGTGCCTAGCTGCTTATTAAGCTATAGGAAATATTTGACAAACAGACTGCTACTGTTGCATCTGCCTTCTTCATAGTAAGTGTGGTGAATACAGCGTCTGAATAAATATCAGCATCCATGACCACAAAAATAAGCATTCCATTTATCAAGTGCAAAATTATCCTGGACAATGGTTTCAGCCACGAATCAAAGATCAATGTCCTCTGGGTGCAGTTTGAAAGCCTGCCAGCTGATATTGATCTGCTGAGCCACAAGCCCACACACAAATACTTACCCTCAGCTCTCTCTGCGAAGAGAGACCACAGCAACTCTCTTTTGTCATCACTGAGTCACTGAGATTCATTGTAGATCTGCAAGTCAACTTGGAGCTTCTTGTAGTGAAATCATGATAAAGCCACATGCTTAAAATAGTCTGGTGTGTGATGTACTTAGCAATGTCTTCCAGAGTAAATGGGAGGCATTATAATTATTGAAAATACAAAAGTATAGTTTTCTGAAATGTTATCACTGGGATAGTAAATTTCATCAGGTTAGTGAAGTGTATACATGAGTATGTGTAGCAGTTTTAAAGCTTCTACAGAAAGACGATGAGATGCAACTACAAAGGATCACTGAAACAATTTGAAGTTTTTAGGTCCAAATTAATGAGCTTCCTACCAACATAAGCAAACTGGGGCTGGGCAAATAGCTCAGCAGATTAAAGCACCTGCAAGCAGGTACAGGCAGGGGCTGGGGATTCGATCCCTGGGCCTGCCGTGCCAGCCCTGCTCCCGGGGCGCACTGAAATGGCAGTTGAGACTGGACATGGAGGTGCGCGCCTGTAATCCCAGCTCTTGGGAGGCTGTAAACAGGCAGATCACCATGAGTCCAGTCTAGTAGTGAGACCCTGGACACTCTGTAGACCCTTCCCTAAAATACAAAAAAGAAAAAGCAAACTAAATTATATTTTAGGCAAAAGTGTAAAATGAATTATACTTTAAATAAATTATATTTTAATAAAACAGAGGTTATATTTTCCAGTGTTCTAGAATGTACATTCAAGGGTCCAGAATCCAGCTGTCTTATGCATACTGGGGAAGGAGAACTCTTCTGTCATGGCTTTGCTCACTAAAAGACCAATAAAACTGTACTGGTTAATTAATGAGACATAGCTATGCTAAAAGAACACTGCTGGATTATCTACTTCGCATTAAAAAAAAGATTTAATGACTTTCACCCACAGGAGAACATCAAAAGGTTATGCAGTCCTCCATTTGTAAATCATCCTGATGCTTTTCATCCTCACGGTGAAGATAAACAAGATCTGGGCACATACTCCCGTGTTCTCTTGGGAAGTACTTTCCTGGAAAGTCTTTGAGAAGACTCCAGTATAAAACAACCTCGACAAATTGCCCTGATCGCTCTATCTCCAGGAGACCCCCCTCCTGCTCTATAATTTGGCTTTTCAATCTTGCCTCAGATGCAGTGTGGTCCGCCTGTTTCTCTTCACTTCTGGCGTCATCCTGCCACAGATGAGGGGTCAGTGAAACTTCTGTCAACCTCTGAAAAGCAATTTGGTAGATGGAATAAGAACAAATGCTTCCTATTCTTTGAAAGAGTAAGTTTATTTTTAAGAATTCATTTCTTTCCTTCTCCTCAGTACAAATTTTTAACTTTTCTTAAACATACAAGGTGAACTGCCTCCTCTCTACTTCTTCACTCTCTCTTTACTTGGTAATCTCTTATGCCATTATTTCTTTTATAATTTTGATTTTTGACAGTGGATGTTTGCCATATACAGTGATTGCATTCCCCCTGGGGAACTGGTACCTGTGTATGCTCCATCTCAAACTTTTTATCCTATTTCCTCACCTTCTTTCCTTTTCCTCCATCACTGGGATACCTTCCCATTTACAAATCTATGTATTTCCCTATTTTCTATTGTCTGTCTTTATTTTGCTGTTCATTTATATTTTAGATTTCTTTTCTTTTTTTGATGCAACATACAAACTTTATTTAACAAAAACAGGTAACATCAAATGGGCATTTTTATTAAGAGAAAAACTGTCTAGAAGAAATGTCTTTTTTTAGCAAATGGAAACTTTATTTCATTTTATTTTATTTTTTTACATTTAGTACAGGGTCTACAGGGTTTATAGAGTCTCACTACACAGATCAGACTCATAGTGATCCTCCTGTTTTCAGCCTCCCAAGTGCTGGGATTACAGGCATGTGTCACCACACTCAGAAGAAATGTCTTAAACACCTTACAGTAAACTACTTGTAGTTGCATTTAACTGATCTCTGTTGCTGTGAAGAATACAGCTCATGCACAGGTACAGAAGAATGATTTGTACATTTTTCAAGTATTCACTGAATGCCACCTTATAAACACATCTACATTGAATTTGAAAAAGATTTAACTGTTGATCCAAGATATATTTCATTTTTGTTGTTCTTTTGGAAGAGGTCATCAAAACAGAAGAATATGTGGTTCCGGCTCAAGAATCATGTAATGAACCGAGCCTAGACTCTGTTGGACACCAAGTCTTCTCCATTCCTCTTCAGACATCAGATGAGTTTGGGGTACTTGTTTGGACAGTTCTCTGGGCAACATGACATGGAGATACTTGTAGTGCTTGTTCAAATACTTGTCTAACCACATGGCTGACACTGACAAAGGTTCTACAATCTGAGGTACAGGATCTCAGGATGAATCCTGAGGGGATTTCACTGACCTTATCAGACTCAAAAGCTACAACCCTTGTTGCATAGGTCCTGCTTTACCTTGGTCTTAACCATCCAGTAGAAAAGTATAAAAACGAAATATAAGAAATAAAGCCATGGTGTTATGTTGAGCTGTAGGGGACTCAGGTCAACAATTTCTAACATTACCAGTCAAGCGGAAGACCCAATACTATTATGGGCTACTGGACTCTTTTAGAATATTTTGCTGAGTTTACACACCTATAATATTTAAATGATGGAACTTAACAAAAAAAGAAAAGGATACAGATGAATGTCCATTTTGTATCTGTGTATTCAAAGTGGTTAGGATAAATATATAGTTACATTCTCTTAATGAATAGAGGGATTTGTTCTAATGGTGTTTGTAATTCCGCATCTTGTACAGCAATTAACCACTAGGAAGAATGTATGCAATGTGTTAATTATTGAAACTGTCCAGCCAATTGGGTTTGAAACTGTCTCATTGCTATTTGTTTCTCAATAAAATTATGGAAAAAAAAGAAATACTTGTTTGAGTAATAAATCTGTGTATGGGCCATTCTGCTGGCACACAGCAATGCAGAGAAATAAAGCGAATGCGAAACCAACAGCAGCTAAGCCAAACATGCGTCTCCTCTGGGCCAAGGCAACAACCAGACTGAGTTATATTTTAGATTTCTTATGTAAGAGAAATATTTCAATGTTTTAGTTTGTGTGTCTGATGTATTTTAATTAACATTATGGTCTCGAGGTGCATTCCTTTTCCTACGAATGACTCAAGTTCATCCTTCTGTGATGCAGATTAATTCTCAATTGGGTGTAAGTACCATGTTTTCCTTGTCCATTCATCTGTTGGTGGGAATATAGGCTGTTGCTGACCAAGATTGAGCCATTATGAATGTTGCTGCTATAAGATGGATATGCATGTATCATTCTAGTATGATGGCTTTGTCATCTCTGGGAGGATATCTAGAAGAATAGCTGGGTCAAATGGAGTTTCTAATTTTGAGGAATTTGAAGCTGCTATCTTAAACATCTTTCTTTCCAATCTATTAAGATGTTGTTTTCCTTACCTAGAAAGCCAATTACCCTCAAAATCAATTACTGCCTTGAAATAGCTATTGAGATCTAGGGGCTGGATGTCCTTGCTTGCTCTTCTGCTGCCCCTTTGCCAACCCTTCACTTTCTGCATGGTCACTAGCATCATTATAACAATGACAAACACAAACACAAGTTACCTGCAATAGACTAGGACTGTTGTTCAATCATTTCATCTTCACAACATCTCAGTGAGGTACACCCATCATGCTCTGATGAAACCGAGACACTATAATGAAAGATAAGTGGCCACTGATGATTTCAATCTGAAGTGTTTCACTCTATAAAGATCTGTATTTCAGTCTGGATTTTCATTCCCAACACCGTGCAGATACCCTCACTTTCTTTTTCCAAACTGATCAACAAATGTTGTCCAACGTGTTTCTCCTCTTGACTTTAACTTAGTTGTAATGCTATTTCCATCACCAAGGTCAAAACTTTTAACTCAAAAGTCCTTCTGATTTCAAGGGTCGCTTCCATCTCATCTGTACAGTCATAGTAGGGTAGCTCTATACTCCTTTCTTTCCCTCCATTTCTTATTGTTTCTAACTCACTTCATACACTACAAAAAAGTCACTATAGCTTTCATTGTGTAATACGCTCACCTCCATCTTCAATGGCCCAGCATTTTCTTAATGAGTTAAGAATACTGTGGTCATTCAGCGAATTATCTAAGCTCCTCTGTATTTCAGCCTCCCTAAGTTTTATGTTCTCCTCTCTGATGTACATGTTGTGTGGTGAAGCCATTCCTTTTCACCCATCAGTTCTCAAATCACACCTTCCCATATGCCCTCTCATCTACCTGTGACATCCCCCAAGACTACTTTCCTATACCATATCCCTTGAAATTCTAGCTACCCAATGCCAGAGCCAGCTGTCTTTCTTTTGATCACCAAACCAGCTTTACAGCTCTGTTTAGCACTTACTGTATCATGCCTTAATCAAAGGCTAATTCTACCAACACTCCTTCAACAAAAGAAATGAGAATATCTTACTTATTATTTAGGTCATATAGAATAAAACTTAGTCTTTCACCAATAATAAATATTTAATAAATATTGGAAATATGCAAATTTTGCAGCAAGGTCTGGTGGTGTAAGCCTGTAATCCCAGTACTGGAGTGGCTGAGGCAGGAGGATCAAAACCAGCCTCGGCTACAAAGTGAGCCTGAACTGTATAGTGAGACCCTGTCTCAAAAAGATTAAAAGTAAATAAATAAATAAATTTTACAATCATCTGGGGGAGTTGGTACATTAACATAATATAACTTGTTTCTTTTTTTAAAATCTCTTTCCCATCCCTTCCCTCACTCCTATTTCTCTTCCCCCTTTTGCATTCTTGTAGATATTATTAATCTTAGTTCATATTTATAGCAAATAATGCCACATTTGTTGAAGTTATTAGGATTATGTATGTGGCATATCTTCACTCCATTTCCCTATCCCTTCTCCCTCATCCTTCACCCTTTGTCCCCTGGAGTCCTTCCCATCTGCACAAGATTCATCCCCTTGTTACTTTCTATCATTCCTTTATTTTCCCCTTAGTTTGTACTTTACCTTAATCAAATGGGAGATACCATGTTGTATTTAAGAGTGTGCCTGTCTGATTTAGTTTATTCAACATTATATTTTTCAGGTGAACTAATTCTCCTACAAATGTGGTAAATTTGCATTTCTTGATAGCAAGGTAGTATTGTATTATGTATAGATAATGCAATTTGTTGATCTAATCATCTGCTTGCAGAATTTAGTTATTATTAATTGCGCTTCTATAAACATTGGTATACATGTGTCACCACAGTGTGAGCTCATAAACTCATAGGAGACAATGTCTAGAAGTGTGATAACTGAGGTACATGGAATTTCTTTTTATATAAATTTTATTTTATTTTATTTTATTTTATTGTGTGTGTGTGGCTGGCTCAGCTCACGCTAAGGGTGGGGCTGGTGTGGCATATGGTGCCGGGGATCAAACTGCAGTCCCTGCACTGCCTAAGCTTGCCTAAGTAGGTGCTTTAGACCACTGAGCTATCTCACAGGCCCTCTACATGGAATTTCTAGTTTTAGTTCTTTGAGAAATTCTCCACATTGATTTCTATAAAGGTTGTACTAGTTGACATACTTTCCAACAATGTAGGAGAATTCTATTTTCAACACAGCCATGGAAGCATTTGTTATTGTTTTACTTCTTCATGACTATCATTCACAATAAAGGTTAACAAAAATTTTATAATTTATTGAAGAGCTTCCTCTCTTTAGCGTAGCTCTGTATATCTATTAAATGAATTATAAATGGTCTCATGTACTAAGAAAATTATGGTTGTTACCAAGTAGTTTCCACATCAATGTGTACATCTTTCTTTATGTGCTATTTTGGAGTATTAATTGTGAAGCAGCATCACGACTATTTTCTAAGGATCTGTGTTGGGGACTATGAGTCACTTTCCACACTACCTTCATTACCGCTTAATAAAAAGAGTGTAATATATTTGACCAGCCACACTGCCACCTTGCTAAAGCTCAACATGTCCTCAGGCAACCTTGCAGCTAAGCAATATCATATAACTAAGGCTTGAACAATATCGTTTGCACTTTCACAGTTCCCTTAAAATGTTAAGATAGTCTTGTTCTGCTCCTTTGTTTCATCTAGATCTGCTGCTTGGACTGTAATGTTTTGGACAGAGCTCTACTAGCCAACTTTGTAATGAAAATTAAGGTTTTTAGAATACTAATTCTGAAAAATGAAATAAGCAGTAGTTTTTTAATTCATTTTAATTAGAAAAAAGATGAAATAGCAATGAAAAAGTTTCAAAATAGGTTAGTAGGACAGTTACAATAATTAATACATTGTATATTGTCTTTGTAGTAGTTATTCAGAAGACAAGATGTAGACATGATATCGTGTCTAAACAATATTAGTACAAACCTTTCTTCTCAATGAACTAAGAGAAAATAGCTGTATATCTATCCTATCTTGTGTATACATATATATTTCTTTCACGACAAAATGTACTTTATTTATACTTTTGCAAAGTTAGTAACATGTGACACAAGGTTTCCTAGTGACTAATAGCTGACCTTAACCAGACAGGATGTTTATCTCAGGACTGAGGTAGCTTATTTGCTTTAGCCATTGAGGTCTACTCCCGCCTACACACATTTGATCAATTTCCTAGCTTCCCTGGCTCCCAACATATCCACCTTTTTTGTTTCGTTTTGTCAGAGATGTGTGTTCCATTTATGCAATAGTTTTTGAAGGCACTAGAATAAATATACTAGTCCCAGTTTGGATAAGAGAAAATAAAATGCATACAGATTAAAAAAAAAAAAAACTTGCCTAGGATTCCAAGCTACAGTGTGGCAGAGACAGGCTGGAATCCAGGAAACCTGAACCAAGCAAACTGTCTTAGCCTTTGAGGTATGCAGCTTTCTCAAATTCTAATTGCAATTTAGTACATATTACATAAGATATTCTAATTCCTAGGCTGGATAATCATCTCAAAAATAAGTCTTCTTCAAATGTGAGTATTCTTAGTAACATAGAGTGGTGTCTTATGCCTGAAATTAATAAAAGGCATTTCAACATGACACACAAAAGAAAAAAGCACTAAAATTTGGGCCAAGATTATACACTATGATAAAGTGATACTTTTGGGTCAAATAATGAATTGTAAATCATTTAAAAGTTTGAATATTTGAGCCGGCCAAATAGCTCAGCGTATTAAAGAGCCTGCAAGCAGGTGTGTGAGCCAAGGGTTTGATCCCCAGGTCTGCCCTGCCGGTCCCGTCCCTGGGATACTGAGATGGCAACTGAGACTGGGCTTGATGCTGCGCACCTATTATCCCAGCTCTTGGGGCACTGTAAATAGGCTGATCACTACAAGTCTGATCTAGTAGTGAGACCCTGAACCCTGTAACCTTCCCTTATAAAATACCAAAAAAAAAAAAAAGTTTGAATATTGAAGCACCAAATACTGATTTGCCACCTAGTCTCTGTTTAGAAATAAAATAATGAACATTACAAATATAATTTTATGTGGATTGTTTTGAAGATTATTATCTATATATGCATGGCTTAAGAAGTAATGTAGGGGTGGATATAACCTGATATTAACTCACGAAAGAATTCTCATTTATTTTGAAGCTATTTGAAAGGATAAATGGAGCAGCTGAAGGTTTCTTTTCTTTCTTTTTTTATATTAATAGATTTTTCAGGCAAGGGTTAAAAAATGTTCAGTGGCCATTAGGATCAGATTTATAATAATATTTTCATCTTCAACCCATACTTGCAGTTATTTCTGGTTTTCTAGTACTTATCAAAATTTTTTCTGCGTAAAAAAATGAAATTTGAAAGTCTTTTCACATATTAGATGTTATGACTTATTCTTGACAAATTACTTTTCAACTAATATCCTTTAAATTGGCAAAAATTTGAGCTCTTTAAATTCATTTTCTGAGGAAAA